GATGGCTGCCATACTCTGCTCGCTCAATATGTAAGTGCTGATGTTCTGCAGACCCACTGATACATGAGAAGGACTTGACTTTCCACTTGTATCTGTAGTAATTTGCCTTGCTTGTGTGGTATCAATGGCACCTATATATACAATGTAATTGAAAATCATGCAAATTGGAAGGAATGTTTGATGAGGAAGTAAGGATGGATTTAGCCTCACAGCACTATTGTGGGAGACTGTTATACCTGGCTTGCAACACTTCAGTGTACATGACACAGAATTATAGCTAATAGGAATGCTCTTAAATCGACTCAGTTGCCAGCTGAGTATTGCACGAGGATGAAGAAGGTTCTGGTTTGACGTAGGCACCATGCATAATTCCACATCTGAACTTTGCAGAGAGACATAATTCTAAACCCATATCTGGACTAAACATTGCAAAAGCAGCTTTGTCAATAAGCTGACTCAAATTCTCATCTCTAAACATGTGGAGATCTTGAAATACCACACTGCATGTGGATCTGTATTCTAAATCTTGCTAATCTTTAAAGTGCATTGGTTTATTTAACTCATTTCAAGAAAGAGGACAAAATGTTGCTCAGCTTTACCATCCAAAATCCAGTTTTTGGGTTTCCTTCAGTCACATAACTTCTCTATAACATCAGTGGAGAGAGACGGGCACCTCTGAAGTGTATCCTGAGCTTGAGAGGCGAGTTGCTCTTCAGGGGTTCATGTTTTTTTTCTCTCATTCTTCATTGACTACAACTAGGGAACTTCATTAGTATCATCTTCTGATGACTCATGAACAATTTTTAAAGACGCTGGGAAAAGAAACTGGGAAACACTAGCCTGTTATCAATAAGCTGATTAAAATAGCCCTGTGGGTACTGAACTTGCTCTGGCAACATTTAGGGGTCTGCTGATCAGAAGAGGTGGAAAACCACAGCTCTAAGAAGCTGATGTTCTGGAAAAGAATGGCAAAGTAAACCACAGTTAGAACCCTTGGGACTGCAGTCATTCAGCCCTCCTTGTTTAGGAAGTGGCATATTAACAACTTCTCACTTTAATTTACCAATGCATCCCTTTTTCTCACAAAGAGAATAACAAAATGGTGAAATAACTTTGAAAGTCAGGTTATTCCTGTGCTTTAACACCTTCCAACAGATGTTGTTCTTAACCAAAGCAGAGTTCCTTGAATTATTAATGGTTTCCAACAGCTCAGCTTGAAATAATTTAGCATTTGAAAGAGAAAAGTCACTCTCATTATTCAAAGTGCAGAAACATTTTGGTTATTAAAAATATTCTCCTTAAAAAAAATAAATCTGTACAATTTGATTCTTTTTCTCCAGATGCCAGCAGGAGCACCAGATCTAGGAAAACCTTTGTGCTTGCTGAAGGTTAATTGATAAAGTACAATGGAAGACAGTAGTCTGTACACTCCATTTAAATTTGAGAAACTCTTATCTGATTTTTTGGTGATCATAACTTTACCAGATGTGCAATTCTTGCAGCTGGAGACTATTACATTCATTCTGTGGCTTAAAGGTACCAGATTATTCGTTACAATCAAACTTCACAAGAGATGCTAAGTACCAGCAGCCCACACACCTTTTCACCTCCCCGTGCACAGCTGACACCAGTGACAGCCTCTGCTCCTGTGGGTCTTGCAGGCCGGGTCTGTGAGCTGGTGTTGGGGTTCCTGTGTTCATATCTGATGGTGAGTCTGCAGTGAGGGCTGGAATATGTGGTTAGTGCTGTCGTGCTCTCAAAACCAATTTCTAGAATAATAATAATAATAAAAAAAAGAATGTGGTAATTTCCGTAACGTGTGTAGTTCATCCTTACAGTGAAGCAAGAGTCAGTAAAAAGGTCCTGGGCTGGATGGGACCAGAGCTGGGAACCAGTGTCCTGAAAACTGGGTCCAGTTTTTCACAAAAACACCCGTGCTGCCCTGCAAAAGTAGCCTGATTGAGGAGATGGGCTGCTGTTTGCTGAGCACTTATGGAAAGTAAAATGCAGTCTCTACAGAGCTACTCCTGAGAGTGAGATGGGTTATATCTGCTCAGCCTTGATCCCACCCAGCATGCTTCTCCCCTTCCAGCAAGGATTTCTTGTGTGGGATCCAGGGGGGCTCCAAGATCACATGCCGAGGAATCATTTCTGGATGTAGCTGTTGGTGTGCAGAAGACAAAATAGAAACTGATAGAGCTCCTCAGAGTGCTTTGGTCCTGTGTCCTCCACTGTCTCCTCAGCTCATTGAGTCATATTTTTATCAAATTCTGACAGTGTTTCAGAAATGAGGGGATTAAATATTTATTATTGCGATTATCCGCCACTGTAAACAGCATTATGGTCCTGTCCTTGGTTGTCTTATTGATGTTTCTCTGAGGGTGAGAACACACAGAAGGACAGAGGGAGCCAGAGAAGGGTAAGGGCTGGTGCCTGAGCCCTCAGCACACCCGTGCATCTTCCTGGGGAAATGCAGGCCTGCTGGTTGTTCTATCTCCCAGACACTGAGGGGCTGGCAATGAGAGGTTAAAGCAAATAGACACAGTGGAAATTTATCAAGCCCTTTCCTAACTCCCAAAACAGGGCTGAAAGTGTCATGAAGCTCAGCTCTTCTCTGGAGGAAGAGTGCTGAAGCTATTTAGAAGGGCTGATGAATGCAGACAAGCTGGCTTGATGTTTTCTTGGCTCTGGTGGTATCTGGTGGTCTGTAGGAGAGTAAAGCACCTCCGGGTGCAAGTCTCATGGACTCCCCAGAAGGACTCAGGTCCAGGCATTGCAACCCCTGCTACAGGTTGCTTTGAAAAGTGATGACAAGGGTCTGACCTGTTGCAGAGAGCAGTGAAATGCTGTCTTTGGGAATCTCCCCAGTAAGCATCTTTAGATGCCTGCACTCACCTGCCATTCGCTTTTTTTCCAGTCCATACTGTTTCTCTATAAGCCTTTCTGGCAGAAGAGTGACCCTTACTTTACACATGGCATGGTGGAATCTGACCACATATGATGCTAAAATAATGATTAATTATAACCACACATTTCGATTACAACCCATGCTTTCCTCTGCTCACCTTTTACTAAAATTTTAGAAGGTAAGGAGGGAAGATTAAATGTGTTTAAAGTTTGTTTAATGTATTCTACATGTTTTCTCCTTTTGCTTTTTTTCTTTCTCCTGCTTTTTTTTTTTTTTCTCCTTTTTGTTTTTTATTTTCCAGCCTGCCCACTGCTATAGGGCATTCTCCTGGCTCACAAGCCCATGGGAAAGCCCTGTGCTGCTCCTCCCTGCTCATGTGAATACAGAACATGGCATGGAGGACAGGAGGGAGAATGACACTCAGGATTGACTGAAACAAGAAAAAATCCTTCAGCATGGTGTTTGAGAAGCTAAGGTTGCCACCAGCTACAGCCTGAGCAGATGCCTCAAGACTTCCCTTTCTTCACATCAGATACATCAGATACCTGTGACTTTTACTGCTCTGTCCCCACCTCCCCACAGGGCAATGTGTCCACACACTCACAGCAGCTCACTGCTGGTGCACTCTGCACAGATCCCGCTTTGCCTCTGCTTAGCCAAGTTAAGGGAGGGCAAAGTAAAAACTGTCTTTTTTAGCACTGGGAGTGAGGGGCTTGGAAGCGAAGGCAGGCACTGTGCTCACACACTGGGCACGTGAGGGTTTCTCTATTCCCCTCCCGGATCCCCAGGCTCAACACCACAGCCACTGCCCTGAGCAGCGCTGGTGTCCAGGGCAGGGAGCACACACGGTCAGTAGGCAGAGATGGAGATGTCTGCCCAGCCCCAGGATTTTGTACTTTCCCATTTCAGGCTTCCTATAAATGGCAGGGAGAAGCAATGTGATTCCCTAGGCCAGCCCAGCCTTTGAAGCTGTCTGTACAAACAGGAGTGTCTACGTACTGGGAAGGATGCTGGCCCGACCTAGGCCTCATAAACTGGAGATTAAGGGACAGAAATAAATGAATGATAAATATCCAGAGCTTCTCTTGCTCTGTCTGCTTGGATAAACAGCCACTTGCAGGAGCAGGCAAGATTAGATGTATGATGTGGCCATCAGTCTGTGTGCAGCAGTGCATGTGTGCTCCAGGAACCTGACTGCACAGGAGAGCAAAGGAGAGACCACCTGAGTGTGTGTGTGTGTGCATCAGATATCAGAGCCCCCCCACACCATTTGATAGACACACACGTCTATATTGATCTTCTCCTGAAGATCTCATAAGCACTGTTTCAGAAGAATAACTTGGAGTTGCACATGGTTTTCTGATGACTCTGCAGAATTACGACCCAATTTATGCTTTCTGTAATGATCAGCACAATAAGGCAGTAAAGTTGTCGTTGCTGAGTACACTGAATTTATATTTTATCACTGCAATATAATCAATACAATAAGAAACCAATACATGCACATAGGCATTACATAGGTTGAAGAACTTTATGAATTCGTGTTGTCTTCTCATAGTGTTCACAGGGTCTCCTTTCTTGAGTTTACTTTGGGACTGAAGGAGGTTTATGTATGTGTTAGCTATTCCTACTGCTGCTACATGATAAATATACCTTCCACTGCTGCTGAGATCTCAGACAACATGCTTTACAGTAATAAGGAAACATTTTTGTAACTGGTATTTTTATATTCAAAGCAAAAACATTGAGTAAATAAAGTTGAGTTTTCTCTCTCCCAAAGAAATGTAAATTACAATGTGTTACTGTATTTCACTCTGTTTATTTAACAGCTCCTTGCATGCTCTGCAAAAAAGAGCTCTGAAATGGCTAATAATGTTCTGCATTGCTTCAGCTGCTGTCAACAAAAGATTTCAAAACACTTTAAAAGCGTTCATTATTTGGCTCACAACACTTTGTAAAATATGCTTATAAACATGATGTACATACAGGCACACACACACTTATATTTGCATGTATACACACACATATTTTTCTGTTTCCAGAGGAGAAAGCAAAGTCCTCAGATGGCTAAGGACTATTGCCCAGAGCATGAGAGTGAGCTAAAGGGAGACCAGGTAGCAGACCCAGGAGCTGTGATTCCCATTTGCTTTGCTTTGCTTTAATCACAGAAAATCTTTTCCCTGCTGAATTAGCAGCTGCGGGAATCATTAACTCTTTTCATATACATGTTTTTAATATCATTTCTGTCCTCTGACTGGGGAGGCTTACGTGAGGCTTCTCTTCCACTGGTACTGCTGGCTGCAGAGCTGCGTTTGATCTCCGAAAGAGCAACCTTGAGGGGAAACAGTGTGCTCAGATCAATGTGCTCAGATCTAAATTATTAGCTCTGCACAGCCTGGTGTAGGTGGGGGAAGGAGATCCAGCAGACACTCATCCTTTTGGCAGGGAAGGCTTTCCCCAGGCAGGATGGAGCGCGAATTGTTTTGGTGATGTATGGCGTGGTTTTGAGGTCTATCCAAACCTCCTTCCGTCACTGCAATGTCTTAGTGACAGCTCTCATGTCTAGGCCCCTGTCAACGTGCTTCTCCCTAGCAGATCCGTGCATCGCCTTCCAGAACATGTACCCTGAGAAGAAAGAGCTTTGAAATTCCTCCAATAAAAGATTTTTTAATTCCAGCAAAGCTTTTATCGTCACCAGATTCCTGGCTTTCTTCTCTCTGTAAAGCTCCAATTCTTCTTCTTAGATTTGTTGCTCTTTCTCCCCTGCTAAATTGTGTGTGCTCCCCCTTTCCAGTTAATATAATAATTTAGATGAGCAGTGGTTAGCATAATTCTAGACACTGAAATACTTGCTGCTTAAAGCTGTGTTTTAGGAGAATTCTATTTCTGAGAGCAATGTAGCGTGTAAAGCTCTCTGACTATCTGAAATTGCATAAAGTGAGACCCAGATAGGAGTCCGGAGGGATACTTCTTTGGAAGAGGTTATTTTACGGGATATTTGAGAGTCCACATACGAGTATTGCCAGGGCTTCTCAGAGGCTGGGCAAAGCTGACCATGCCTGAGACTCAGAATCAAGAGGCTCCACCGGGCAGCCTGAAATGCCTCAGTTATACCCGTTCAGGTCTGTGAACTCCTGCAGAGCTCTCCCAGCACGGCCCCGGAGTGATGCAGCAATGAATCGGGCCACCAGTCCTTCCTGCTCTCAGCACTGGCACACAGAGGCAACACGGAAATGGCTTTAAAAAAATCATGAGGTTTAAAATAAAAATAATCTATTTATTTGCCTCCAGCTTTCTGGGCCTTTTCAATACACACAATTTGCATTTTTCAACTTATCTCTGCAATAAGAAAGCCAACTAGTTACTCTTCATTAAATATTAAGGCTACCAGAATTGACTAATCCCAGGAATCCAGTGTCTGGGGTTTGACGCTCACCCCTCATGTCGTGACTGTGCTATGCCATTGCAATGCTTTCCGTACCAGGGTTGGGAAGCACGTCTCAGAAGCAGATGAATGCAGATCTTCCTTTTGATGCTGAAAGCCACAGAGGCTGGTGATGAAAGGGAGAGTCCCCAGCTGACATGTTTTGGGGACAGAGGCTCTCCACAGAGGGGGAGGACACCCAAAGCTCAGGGAGGCTTTTGTATCGGTGGCAGTTGCATTCTTTGTGGTAATTCTGGAGGTGGGCTTACTGCAGTGGCACAAAGAGGCCCTCGCATCAGTGTGTGCACGTTGCCAGCAGACTGGGGCAGGTTTCCAATAGCAGGGAAGTGTTTCCAGCACAGACAGAGGCTGAGGTACAGGCAGGTGTCTCAGGAAACAGAAGTGGTATCTGGCTTTCTCGTGCTTCCCCAAAACACCAAATATCTCTGGGTGACTCCTGCACACAAACGTATTTCATTACACCACCCGTAATGCAGTGTCTTTTTTCAAAACCAAATCTTGCACCACAAAGAGTTCCCGTGCTTAAATCCTGCTCTTGGCTCTGCATTGAACTTGCAGTTCGTGTGCAGAAGCATACACAGACACCTAGATGAGTACTGGCCTGAAATTTTCTTATTAACATTTCTAAGCTTTATGCTGGTCCTCAGTGGCCAAGAGCAGGGTAGACCCCATTCCTGCATATGTAAAATTAGGATTGCTCTTCTCAGGTGCCTCATGCTGCATCAGCCGATGGGGCTTTTCACCTGCTGGCCAATTGCTTGGATGATCAGACCTGGAAGGTCCACCATCAGCTTTCCTCTTTACCACCCTTTTCTATATCCTTTTGATACAAGGAAGAAATGTGTAGGAAGGGCTGTGATCAGGACAGGAACGCAAAAAAGAAAAAAAAAAAAGAAGAAAAAAAAACTATGCTCAGAAAGGGGGGAAGGTATCAAACCACCTTCTCTGCTGATCCAGCATTTCATAGAAAGCCATTTCATACAATGTCCCTCAGTCACTCCTACGTGGTGGGGCATGCGAGTGGGCTCAACTGGTGCCCAAAGAACTGGCTCTGACACTTGGTTTTGCCCCAGCCCCAGTGTTATTCTGATGAAATATCTGGAAATATAATAGAAGACACCCAGCGTATGCCTCATTAACTGTTTAAATTATCTAGACTGACAAATTAATTTTAACTGTACTTGTTTTTCTCCTCTTTAAAACATCTCAGTCATTAGATCAAGGGATAAGGCAGTCCATGTGGCCCAGAAGGTCAGCCTGCCATTATGATGAAAGAGCAGTGAGTCAACGGACCAGAGGTGAAAATGCATTAATTCAGTCCATTCATTCAATAGCTACAAGTGAGGGATGAAATTTCAGAAATCAGGAATGATTCATGAACAGAAAAAAAGAATTAAATTTGCTGAAATGATAGGAGAAGGGGGGAAGCTAGTGATTTAAGTCACTGAACATGACTCACAGGATAAATTAATCGCAATACACAATTTCAATCTTCTATAACAGTGAAGAGGAGCTGTACAAATTGGTGGGATCATTCATTGAAAACAATTTATCATATAATTTTGGGTTTGTTGGGCTTTTTTTTTTTTCTCAAACCTTTCTCCCGCTGTCTAGTCTTCAGATCTTCAGCTTGTCAAATGGTATCCTGAAACCAAAGGTAACAGTTTGATAACTGCATTTTCCATTCACTGCCATTTTTTTAGACAAATATTTTAATTATCTTAGGTGCTTCAGAATAACCAGAGAATAACTAAACCTGCAAATAAATTAGAATAATGGAACTCCAAATTTAGGGGTAGGTCTTCCTGTACAGGCAATCAAGATGTCTAATAGCAGTTTCTGTACTCTGTGTAACCTGGCTTTCACCCATCCTCCTTAAATAATGCTAGGAGTCAGGTTGTAACAAAGCAGACTTCAGCACAGGCTCAGTATATCATCCCAGCAGCCGGTGGGTGGTGGCTGAAGTCCTTAGTGCCACCTGGGCCCAAATTAGCTAGATGAGTCCCAGCACAGGGAAGTGTGTTTGAATGTCGTGGTGCCTCTGTAGGGCACAGTGTAGCCTGGGCTGCAGTTTCCATTCCCAAGCATTCATATCATTCTAGTCGTAAGGATGTGAAAGGAAGGCTTTCAGGGAAAGGCAATACTTTTTACTACACTAACAGATATTCTTACTTTAAAGGACACATCTTAGACTCACATGACTTTTTTAAGGTCAGAAGTAGAAGCTACAAGTTTCAAGTTAAATGTAAGTGTCCCTGAATATGGGAAATTTATAACCCAGTTCCTCTTGTGTCCTATACCTTTCTGTAATACTTTTAAAAACTCTTCCAGACTTGCGCATCTACAGATGTCTGATGTATGTGCCTTCTGCAGATGAATTACAAGCTACAGAAAAATGTACAAATGAACAAAAAATTCCTTTCTCCTACTGAATACACTTCACACCGCTTTTTTTTTTTATGCAGCATAACAGTTGCCAGTCTTTTTTCAATGGACATCTCTCAGTGTAATAGCTTATAACATTAGCCATGTATTTTGGGGTAAAAGTACAGATTGATCCTTCTGCAATCATCTGGCTTGGGAAGCAGTGGAGAGGGGATCCCTGACCATGCTGGGGAGCCCCTTGCTGATGCTGACTTCAGCAAACTCCTTGGGTAGAACATTTGGAAAGGAAAGTCATTCTTTTCCTCTAAAGGACCCTTAAACAAAAAGCAGTGGATTTTCTTCTGTAAATCTTTTATCCAAATTTTTTTCTCTGTACCAACAGATTGACCTGAAAGAGCAGAATCTTGATTGCTCAGAGATAAAGTAATTGAGTGGTCTCCTGGGCTCTATTTGGTACAACAAACTTCAATAGAGTTGACAAATGTTGATCCATAACACAGGATTAATAAGGCTGCGCTTGGCTTCCATTTCACTTTTCCATTTGCTCCTTCAGTCTAGCTAACACCCTGATTGCTTTGGGAAAACTGACAAATCCTTGCAGTTAATGAGGCCCTCTAGTAATTTATCAAGCAGAGTTTCTAAAATAAAAAGGGCGCAAGGAACGAAATGTTGTTTCTGTGCTAAAGGAAGGAGAAATACTTCTCTCCAGATCCAGGAGAGGCTGGAAGACTTTGCACCTCTACCCACTGAGAGGTGGGAGCTGGAATAACTCCTATGGGACGTGTTCCTCCAACAGCACCTGGTATTCTGGCTTCTGTGGATGTCTCAGGCACCTTCTCATGTATCACCAGTGAGACTCAGCCAGCTGCACTCCGGAGTACCTCTGGGATGCTCTGAAAAGCAGCCTTATTAGCAGTAAAAGAAAGTATCAGAAATGCCTGATTTTATAAGCAAGTGTTTAATCTGGGTCTGGACACCATGGCAGCAAAGTCTGAACTTTGTGCTGCTGGGAAATGGGCTTCCCATCTCACTTCTGCAAGCCCCGCTGCGCTCTCTCCATCAGCATGCTGAAATATAATTCTGAACTGGCAGCTTTCACATCTCTATATTTCCTGGAAAATGCCAACAATTCTGAAGAAAATCCATTTCTTCCTCGTATTTTGTTAAAATAAAGTTCCCAAATGGGAACCTGAAAGAGCCAAATTGCCGTTGCCAGTAATAGCTCTGCTTGGAGCAGCATGGAGGGTCCAAAGACAGCAGCAGGTTTCTCTTTCGTTTGTGACGGTTCTAAGTCTGTCCGTCATCCACTTTATTTTTAGTACAGCTCTTGGTTTTCTTTCTTAACACAGCAGCTTTCACATTAATGCAGAATAAGATCAATTTTACCTATAGTCTTGATAGGAAACAACTGCCATTAAGCTATAGAAATAACTCAGCACTCGCTGATCGTTATATCTTAGCGACAACTTAAGTACATTGGCCAATCTCTGAACCTGGGGCTTAATGTGAGCTAGGGGAGGCTTGGCAGGAAAAATTTGTTGCAGTTGGCAGGGATTTCTTCTCAAGGGCCATGTTTGCACCATATGAAATGGGCTGGCAGAAAGGTTCTGTAGCCTGATGTTCAGGAGACGTTTGTCCCCAGAGCTGTTGTACATGGCTGGGTACACGCCACAGCCCCGGGCACCTGCGCCAAGAGCGGAGTAAGTGGGGCTGAAGTCTGCTGGGAATGGAACTTTGTTGCCTGCCCCCTATTTTTTACCCTGGTTTTATACTTTCAGAGATGGTTAGCAGCAAACCTCTCTCTGGCTGGTGCTGCACAGGGATGGGCGGCTTTGTGGGAAGTGCTGCGTGACCTGCAAGCCGCAATGGGGAACATGGGCTTGCCAGTTTGGTGGTGTTTGCTATAGGGGAACTCAGAAGGCAGGGACTGATCGCTCTCCTCTCTCTAAACATCAATGTGACTCCGGGGCTGAGGCTTTGTAAGGCAGCCAGGTGGTCAGGAGGACTCACGTTCAGATGTGGGTGCTGCATCACACCTCCAGGGAAGCTGCAGGTACCCAAACACACTGCATGGCCAAGAGCAGGCACGTAGCTGGATCGACAACTAAATGGAAGCATTTCCATTGTGCTGGGATTTACAAAGGCTGAACATAAACAGTATGCCGGGCTCCTCCTTGCTGCCAGACTAAGATGAATGGATACAGAACATACCAGAAAATACAAATTTTAATGTATTTAACATGGAGATGCATTTCACAAATGTCGCTTGTTCTCTTCTGGGGACACTTTTCCCTCTCTCTGTGCTTCCTTCTCAGCATGCAGGTGCTTTTCTATCTCTGCACTGCCAGTCTCAGGGTTTGTTTTTTTTTTTGTTTATTTTCTGATGAAATTCCACATTACAGCCTGCAGGCATGTGAAACACCATTTACACCTAGACACTGGTACACTTCATATCTTACTCCCAGCTGTGTGAAAACATAAATGCCCTTGTCCTGTAACAGCAGTCAGTGAAAACAGCTCCATGCTCATTATTTGAAGAAGTGACCCATTTTGGAGAGAGCCTTGCCAGAATTATGAACTCCTGTTTAGGAGAGCGGGCACGGTATGATGTCTCCAAGGGGCAATATGAAAGGAAGAGTCCTCAAATCACTAGTTGTGATTAAAATCTGGAGGGACAGGATTATATTTTATTCTTAGGCTGCCTGCATCTCCCCAAAAATAAAAATAACCATTTCATATCAATTTTCTTCCTTGTGCTCACATCACCTTCCCCCTTGCCAGCTCAGTGCCACATCAGTGTAGGAAGAGAGCTTCTTCCCACTGGGATTCCTCATTTTACATTTTGGCAGCTCTGGGGATGCTCTCCTGTGCAAACCAGTCATCCGGCACAGCTGGCTTCCTCCCATTGCAGAGCCAAACTGGGGGGACTGGAGAGGCCACTTATGGCTGAGCCTTTAATTGAGACCAGGATGGGGCAGATGCTTGCTGTTTGACTGGTGTTGCATCTCTTTAAAAAGCAGGATAAAAATGCAAAGTTGAAGCATCATTTGTAGGAGGGAAAAAAAAAAAAAAAAAAAAAAGAACGAGAAAGGATTATTTAGTCAATCATCCTGTCTGTTGTGGTTAGGCTGCAGTTTAGATGCAGAAAACCGCATTGCTGGAGGTCTTAGTCTGCATCTCGCATCAGACTTGTAAAATCTGCCGGTAAATCTTGACATCAGAATCCAGGCTGAGAAGCTGCTTGTTTTAATCATGGGATTTCAGCAGAACATCTGACTCTTTTGTACGTCCAGAAGTGTATTTACATATTTGTCCCCTGCAAAGGGATTACAAATCCTGTAAAATAGCAGAAAATCCTCCAACAGTTTTACAAATTGAGAGGAACCAGAAACAAAATGCAGACCTGATGCAGCTTTGCTTCTCCCTTGCCAGGTTGCAAAGGACAGGCTCCAAATGAGGGGATTCATGATTTCCCTGCATGGGCAATTCTCAGAGCTCTGAGCCTCCCAGGGATGCTGCCGACTTCAGAAGGTAGGAAAGCAAAGCTGACAGGAGAAGCTGTGTTCAGAGCTAAGCTAAAGAGGAAAACAGGGAGCAGAGGCAGCCACAGAGTGACAGGCTGCTGCCAAACCCTTCTCTCATCTCTGATTAAATCCCCAGGCAAATATTGTTAATCCACATGATGGAGTGAAGTTGGGGGGGGGGGTGCATTTTCAGATGTCAGCTCAAACCACCTTAACAGACCTGATTTCCAAAGCAAGAACCAGGTACAGTTAAAGGCTTTCAGGCAGGTACTCAAAAATTGAGGTCCTTTTTCTACATGTTCTTTGGTTACCCTTACAACATCTGCCCTGCAGTCTACAAGTAAAATAATCAAAATAAACTTATTTGTTAAAACTGAGGAAGAAATGTGTAGGAAATGCCACTATCTTCTCTTTCCCAATTACCAAACTAAGTATTTAGAACATGATCTTTTTGATTTTGCTGTGAGTCCTGCAATAATTACCCTTTTTTTCTTCTTAAAATTACAGCTCCTTGTAATAGTGTACAAACTTCAGTTTGCCAGTTGCTGGAAAAGGCTTGGGACAGACTCACCAAAGGTAAAACTGAGAGTGAAATAGAAGGAATTTTGATATATTTTTGAGCCCATACAAGTTTTTAACCTTCACTTTCTAAAAAGCCTGACTTTTTTACTGTCCTGCCTTAGTGATGATGCAATTAAAGACTGTCATTCCCAGCTGCAGAGTAGCAGTACTGCACTGGAGCAATGGGACCTTGCTAGGTCTAACATCTCAAAAGCAATTTAAAACCATTATTTAGCTCTCATGTACACACAGGAGACAGAGGCTGTTTGTACACAGGGGC